AAGCCAAACCCATAAACCTATTACGAATTACTCGTCATCCGAACTCGCTACACAATGGAGAACCTAAACATATCCGAGTAACACTAGAATTTTCCACCGACTTAGAAAACGTTTTGTTCTCCGCGAGCGCGTTAAAACACGGATCCTGTGGGATAAGCATCTCTCCTGATGTCTCTTGGAGCGCGCGACCATCAAAAAGAATCACCGAAGTGGGACATCTCAAGCAAGACGAGCAAAACGCAATCTTCATACATGGCGTGCCAGAACATACTTCTAACGATGTTCAAGAGATCGGAAAGTACGATTTAGAACAGTGGCAATTTATTCGTAAAACACTTGCTATGAATAATATTGTGGCGCAATCGCCCACCAGGATTCCTCACTCACCAAATTATAGAGGATGCGGCTCTAGAAGCCTAAAACTTGTGGTTAAGTCAAAGCCACAAGCAACGGAATTTTTGGATCGATGACGGAGAAATCAACAAATTCTTCCTTCTGAACATCGGTTAAAGGTCGCAGAACCTTTGCAAAGTTCAAATGTCAAAGTATCTGAAGCAGTAGGCGTAACGATGATAATGCAGAAGTTTAACTTGACTGTTGCTTTATTTGACTCTAACGTAGGTCTAAACGGAGATTATGACGCACCTTGGCCGAATCAAGTTTCAGACAAGCTATTATTAGCCCATCCAAAAAAACGAGTAACGGCCAACCTCCCATAGGTCGGCGTTCTCTCACACTTGATCCATTCACCCCTCTGTGAGGCCCTAGAGACCGAGAAACTGGCCTGCTTTTATACGAATGCTTAGGGGCTTTTTAATAGATTGGCCGAACTGAAAGATCGCCACGCTTCCGCGTCATTCGATGTCATAGGTATCACCGAGACATGGTTGAACACGGGAATGACGGACGCTAAAGTTTCGCTACCGGGCATGTCGCTGGTCCGGATCGATAAGCTTAAAATGGAGCAGAGGTAATCCTGTGTTACCGAAGCGACTTACAGTGTGAAGCCGTGGAGGATTCAGACTCGCAGTTCCCCGACTCTGTTTGGTGCCGTTTGCAGTTAAAAGGCAGGGACGATTGCCTTATTGTCTTGGAATCGGAATCGAGTACCACCTTACCGCTGCTTTAAGATGTAGTTTACAACGAAAGTACACTCACCTACTTATCATGGGTGATTTTAACGTACATTGTGTAGAAACCTGCCACGATCGGAGAACAATTCAAAGCCGATCTACAAGACCTAGTAAGCACTGTTTCTCTTTACAATTATATCACTTTGCCCACTCAATTCAGCACAGGTAACAGGCAATCTATGCTGGATCATGTGCTTACTAACGAGGAGCATATGATTGATGTGATGGTTTTAGACGGCTTGTTGGGTCACAGCGATCAGTTTCATCTCCGTATGCTATGCGGAATATTGGAGTGAGAACGATGAGACTGTGCGAACCATCACAAGGTACGACCGACTCGCTTAGCTCGTCAGCGCCACACCATGGTCTTTCCTCGAAGAAGAACCATCCGGAAGTCGCCTGGCTCGAGTTCGTTAGCGAATTCAGTCAGCTGATTGCAGAGGCTTCAGAGATAAGAGTTTGCAATAAGCGTAAATAAGTTCCTTTCGTTAGGAGCAGAACTCGAAAATGGATGACAGTGCGCAGCGCAGCATGGCGAGTGTACAGAGAAGCTCCAGCACCAGAAACTTGGGACAACTACGTAGCCCAACGTAAACACTGCACTCAACCGCTAAGAGAAGACAGAGCCGCATATCAGCAGAACATCGCAAAAACCTTCAGTGCCAACCACAGACTGCTGTACAAAAATGGCAATAAACTACGAAAGGTATGTCAAGGATTTCCCACACACAGCACGGCCGATGGCCAAACAAAAACGGCTGTGGAAGCAGCAAACGCGCTGCAAAAGCAATACGCGCCTACGTTTCAGAGGGTCTCACCACCAAGCGATCTTCCAACCTTTGTCGTCTCCTCGCCATGACTAACACACAACCCTTTAACAGCGGAGACTGCATTGCAAAAGCTGACGTCTCTACGCAAACACAGCTCACCGGGTGTCGACACCATTCATCCATGCACTGGAACAGCAGCAAGCCAACTGGCAGGACCATTAGTTCAGTTTTTCAACACCGCTTAGACCAGAACCAAGTTCTTGTCATGTGCAAGCTTAGAATAATAACCCCGATTCACAAAGGTGGAAGCAGTACTGATCCCTCCAACTACCGCTCAGCAACTCTTCTTCCTATGTTCTCTAACGTCATGGAATCAATAGTTGCAGAGGCACGCCTGAGCAGCACGGTTTCCGTCGACAGCGGTCATGCACAACGAATTTACTAATCGCACGCAGTAGTTGGACTGAGTCAAATGACGCTGAAGAAGATTTTGATGTGATCTACTGGATTTTTCGAAGGCTTTCGATCGTCTAGACCATCGGATACTACTCTCCAAGCTCCAGCATTACGGGATCAGCGACCCTCTTTTAAGCTGGATTGCCAACTTTCTACTTCAACGGCAATTAGTCGTCAGAGTTCGGAGCTCTTTATCGGACCCCATACAAGTCGAGTGTGGTGTGCCGCAAGGCTCAGTTCTAGGTCCACGTGCGTTTTTTCGTGTTTATTAATGACCTTACACAGGGACTCGCTTCAAACTACCTAATGTTTGCCGACGATATCAAAATCTGACGCAGGATCCAGGTGAACACCGACCAGCATCTGCTTCAGAGTGAGCTAGATACGGTGTATCAATGGTCAACACAAAACTTGTTGCATTTCAACGTCAGTAAATGCAACGTGCTTTCCATCCGACATCAGAGCAACTACTCATACCGGCTCGGAACGAATCTACTGCAACAATCCACTGTCGAACGTGACTTGAGTGTCCTGGTTCAAGATGACTTGGGTTGCTCCAGGCAATCCGAAAAGGTATCATATAATGGCAACTAACACGCCTGGCTGTTGCGACGGGCATTTGGACAAATAAACAGCTCCATATTTCGACAAATGCTCAGTGCGTATGTTCGCCCCCATGTCGAATACGCAATTCAAGCCTGGCATCCACGGCTGAAACCCGACCTTAATGCACTGGAGCAGCCACACTTCGGGCATCTAAAAACGTAATTGGAATGAGCACTCTTTCATACGAGGAGAGGCTGAACTATTGGGGTATCGCAGACTACGAGGCGACCTGATTATGGCATGCTTGATAGTATGAGACCCACATCATGTGTGCCGCCCTTTACCGGGACCCAGAAGCAATACTAACCTGAGGAGCCACTCATTGAAAGTCGCTGCACAGTATAGCCGACTAGAGTGCCGCATAAATTTCTTTTCCATTTGTGTTTGACATCCGTAGATTGCTCTCCCAGAATCGGTTGTCTCTGCACCGACACTAACAGTATTTAGAAGACGGTTGGACGATGCACTCATCCACTTACACTTTGTTACTTCACACTACGTCTCGATCCTACACCAGCAGTATACCATGGAATTATTTGTTGTTAATTGTGGGTGCTGTGAATCAAATCAGATTGCAGGACTACGGTGGAGCAAATGATAACTACTTATTTTCATATTTAAAGTACTAACTGTTTTACTATTATTATTATTATTAGTTTGATATTGCCACCAACGATCCAACGGGACTTGTAAAGCAAGGCTTCTTAACCCGTATAAATTCATTGTTTATTTTTCAATTCATGAATGACGGAAATGTTAAGACGATTCACATACCCCCATGAGAACCTCCTTGATAGTCACTTCTGACTTTTGGAACTTCTGAGGTGATTACGTGCGTTCCTACGGCCTATATCCCAGAGATTTTCACAGCTATACTGTGCGTGGAGTGCAAGCCGCCACGCTTGCTCCAGTGACACAGCCTTCCCATGGCCGTCCACAACCTGAGTGAAACACAAATTTGGTGAGCGGTGCCACCTATTGTGACAATCTTCTGCACTGAACACTCTCATAAAACTTTCTGTTATGCATGCTGTCAGCTGCGGTCGCAATAGGCTCTCGTGAATTCGAAATAATAAATAAATAAGTAAATGGCGTATTCCTCGATACTGTGAGGCACAGTCCAACGAACGGTTACCGAGAGGACTCAATTGCGCTCCTCAGTGGTTCCTTCCAGCTAACCAGGGGAAGCTTTAGACAGGGAGGATAAAGTTGGCTCAAGATTTTGACCGCTGGGACAGGAGATCGCTCGGGACCGAAAAGAAATTACACTTCCCTTCCCAGTTACCAGTTTGTGAGATGCATACAAGACCCCCACAATATCAATATAACGTGAACTTCAAGTAGAACATTGCTTGAATTGCGCTGAGTTTATGTGGCGGTGAACATTTTCTTGTTTTTCAACGGAATGGCTTATAAAATTTTTACATTCAAATGTTAAATAGTTCTGAACATTTTAATGTTATTTTTGGCTCTGAGGTTGACTGCGTCAAGTAGTTTTTGCCAAAATGGCAGTGCACACTGTGGTTGCTTGGCTGAAAGCGACTGATTATTCCTAGCAGTTTTTAGCAGTCACTACACCCAAGCTTCCATTGGAGTCAGTGACCACCGATTAATCAAACGGACTAGCACTGAAACTAAGTGGCATAATGAGAAGGAATGGTGAGTATAAATAAACGTGTATATATAAATGTAACACTTGAATAATACGGTTGGCAGATACAACTGGTAGAGTGCTACAACACATGGGTCACAACAAAAAAGGGAAAACAAGCAATCAGGAAGCATTAGTTGGGTTTATGTGTGAATCGTGAGTGCTTTTAATTATCCAATGGTAGGGAGAATAAAATAAGTCTCAATTATTCGTTGCATTCTTTCCACTGTTAGCTGAGCTAAAAAATAACTAAACGGAGCAATCAGATGGCTCTCAACGGAGCTCTCTTATAAGAGCCAGCTGTATCAGACTGCACTAAATCAACCATTAGAATCTAAGCACTATAGACACAACTGAGCTCGAAAGGTTAAAACGGATAGTTACCTGCAAACTCGATAAAGCATTGAAATCCTCTAGCAAGCACTGGGCTAGTGCCAGATCATGGCGAGTGACGGCTAGATGCAGTGCAGTTTGCCGCAATGCATTCCTGGAATTTACGTCAGGAACATCATCAACCTCCTCTGCGCAGTCGAATTGGGGGACTGCGAAATCAGATCGCGGAGGAGAATCGACCGAGTTGGAATCGTGAGCTTCACAAGGTGGATCGTCCGTATTGAAATGAGGCATCCGAAGGGACGGACGAGGTGAAAGTACCAGCTGAAGTACATTGATGTTACCTCCTTGGGCCGCAGAATGCACTGCTTGGTTTCCGGTGCCATCACGCAATAGACGCTTGGCTCCAAAATACATTAGAATAGAAACGCATGCCAAATGTCCTGCGTCACATGCAGTATGCAAAGCTGTCGACCCGGCATAAATAGTGTTAACCTGATGAAAAGTTGGTCGGAGAGAATTCTGTTATTAGTTGTTATTGTAAATAATTCGAGGAATATTTTTGCTGTTTTGTGAAAAGTGTCGTTTGCTGGTGGTATCTGTGTACCTCTGATATTATTTGTGTTTGATAAAGCTAAATTTTATACATGGGTATCATTGGCATAACTAAGCACCCCGCGGTAGAGAGGGCGGACAAGTTACAGAGTACGTCGTGGTCACAGTCCGTAATGCGTGAATGTATCTTTTATAATTGACTGTTGTGAATGAATAATGAATCAATTTGGGCCATACAGGTATGGCCTACGCGGTATGAAGGATTATGTTATTACACGGAAAATTGAGCAACCTGTTTACCTGTGGCTACTGGGTGCTTGAGCACACAAATCGTCTTCTTCAATCACCAGCCATACTTCGCATCTACCAGAAAATTTGCAACAACTCGAAGTGTATGGTATAGATATACATGTCTATATATATATATATATATATATATATATATATATATATATATATATATATATATATATATATATATATATATATATATATATATATATATATATATATATATATATATATATATATATATATATATATATATATATATATGGGTGGCATCTGTGTCCGGATCTGCGAGTTAATGCGGCCTCCATATGACAGCCACAGGAGACCGGCGCCAACAGAGGGACCATGGGTGGCTTGCACTGCACCACTCATAGCTTCATGCGCACATCCCATATCCAGTGTAAACCCGAAGGAATAAAACCGAGAGGCATATAAACGGGAGTCAGGATTCATCAACGGAGCCAATCCACACTCCTTCAACAAGCAGAGTAGAAGCACTCATGCCTACATGGAAAATCATGCGTAACAAACGTACACAAAGTGGTGGTTGGGCCGTAGCCCGTACAACATTGGATGCATGGAACCACTGTTTGAGCTTAGCACCGTCACGAGGACCGTGCATCCCGTCTCCTCCAGCGACAACCAACTGTCTTCTGGAGCCAGTAATCGAGATGGAGTGACTTAGGCAGGTAGGCACCTTGTCAACATCCACATCAAGCGGAGCCACACCGGGGATATCAGTCAACAACCGACCGCTGAAATGCTAGAAACGGAACACGCAGGCACATTTACAGACCAACTGCGGCGATGATGCAACGCACGTACTACCTCAACTGCCTTAATGACTGTGCTGCTTATGCTAAGATAAGCAGCTGACTTGTCGTCTTTTGAATGCTGGCCTTACGTGACCACGCTGCTGGCTTACTAAGCCCTCTTGGCTCAGGAACTCGCGACCGCATGTGCTATAGCGGCATGCGCTCGATGTCGATGAGGTAGGCTCCATCGGCGCCTGTTGCTTCCGTACCCGGCGTTTCTCCTCTGCATGTAATAATGCTTACTGCTGCACTTAGGCAACCGCCCTCTTGATTAGCTCACGCCATTCGCGATAATCAGCTGCGTTTGATTACCAACATCTGGAACCAAAAATAGTTCATGATAAACTCACCTTGATCATATCCTGGTAGCAAAACTTCGGTTTTCCAAACTGTTGCTTCCCTGCACTAAATTGGCTATACAAAAGCTACTTGGGTATTCTCGTCGAATTCATCTCAGGTGCCGTAGCAGAAGTATGCAGCCCACTGCATACATGCCAATGCGGCGCAGCACTCCCGTATCTGCAACACTGTCGCACCAACCGATGTGCAGAATTCGTCCCAGACACTTTTGATGAAACCGCTCCAGATTTCTGACGTCCTTCCGATACATCATTCACGTTTCGTTGCCGTATGGAAGAATCTACAGCACTATATACTTGTATACAATCAACCTCGTTCCTGCGGTAAGATGGTGGTTGTTCCATACCTTTTTCCAGCTTGTCAGCAGCCGCCTTCGATACGTGGACGCGCAGCTCGCTCGTCCTCTGCAGGTATGGAGAAATCAGGCTCCCAAAGTAAGAAAAGTTCGTTACAGTTTTCAGCACATCATCGGAAACTTGGATTTGGGGCAGCCCCAAGGACTTCATTCCGTGTGAAGACTGGAAAAAACAAGCAGTCTTGCTTGTGTTGATGGTGCGCCACAATTTGGCGGCTGTCGAAGTTAGAGCCGAAGTCATGTGCTACAACTCATCCGCGTTCTGTGCAAACAACGCACAGTCCTCAACAAAAAACAACAACCGGGTGGTTGTCTCACATACTATGGTTCTCCTGTTGAACGAAATGCTAACTAACCAACTATCAATATGGTGCTCCAAAGAGACACTGTGATTACAAGCAGTATCAGAAGTACAAGACATTACGGCATGTAAATATTTGACAGGGCAGGGTCTAGGACACAGCCTTGTCTCACATTAGAGACATCAGATTCATCCAAAGTTTGTACCCTCAGCTGCACCCTCGCCAGCATACCACTGTGCAACCATTCAATTAAACTTACAAACGTACTCGGACAATCAAGCTTACCTAACACCAGCCACAATGCCTCGATCTTCACCGTGCCCAATGCCTTGATGAAAGCAACAAACAGCGAATACAACGGTTGGTGTTGCTATCGATATTTCTCCTGCAGCTGACGAGTCACGAACATCATACCTATGATGATGCGGCCCTATTGCTCTTCCACCATGTTTGGTTCAACGGCCTGAGTGACGAGGCGGTTGAGCAGAATTCTGGGATTCACCTTGCCCACACAACTCAGCAAGCTGATATCAGGATAATTCGTGGCACATTGATTGCTCCCTTTACCATTGTACGGTGATAGCACAAGGGCATCCTTCAGATCACGAAGCACTTCCTCCTCAATTCATACGCGTTGCACTACGGGGTGCAGCGTATTTACCGGTGCGAGCCCGCCGTGTTTCAATGGTTCAGGAGGGATCACCTCAGACCCACCGCATTTGCCGTTTCGCAGATGAGCAAGTGTTTGCTGCGTCTCATCCAGTGTTGGTCTGTGAGCAAGACAGCTTCATATTCTGCTGTTGCAGCCCATGCAATCTAGCCCAGTCAATCTCTGAACGGTTCTTCAAGAGACGGTCGAAGTGCTTTTGCCAGATCTGCATTATGTCTGCGGTCTGTGTGCACACAGTTCTTGAAGTAGCATCGAACGACGTCCTCAGCGGTTGCAACCTGGGCCCATACACCACCATCAATGAGTCAGATAATTCCTTGTGTGGGCGGCGTTTGGCGCAGCATATTATCTGTTTCGCTTTCTCCCCGCACAAAGCATTCTTGATGCGACATAGCTCTCGAGTCAGGCGCCGTCAAAATTTCGGAATTGAGTCTCCTTCTGCGAGTCGGCAGGGCCCGCCATATTTGTAGCGAAAGCTGCATTCTTCGCCGACACCAATGCTCCAGTTGTTGCACTGTTATCATAAAACCAATCGGGCTGCTTAAAGTTTGCGTGACTGCTCGTTTTCTCGGTAGCAGCCGTCACCTGCTCGCGAATGTGGTGCCACAGATCGCCCAGTGAGGTTATGGGTTCCAAATAGCTAGGGCGGATAGCCATTGCCTTCTCCGACTCCATGCTCTTCAGGATAGTACTTAAGGATCGAACATCAATCTGCGCTGATTCACCGAAGGTGTGTAATACATGGATTTATGAAAATATATGTACAGTTTGGTCCGCACCAACTTGTGATGAGTGCCACACTCAGCTCCAAGCAGTACATGAGGCATGAGCACTTCACGCATGTCACGCTGATGTACGATACTATAGTCTAGTAGGTGAGCGTGACCAATCCGTGGGTGCTTCCAAGTAGCTATATCACTTTCACGCAGTGCAAACCGGGTGTTTGTGATCGTCAGGCCGCGAGTGACACAGTGAGAGCAGTCGGTCACCCTTCCCATTGGCTGTAGCAATACCATACCGACCGATGACGTCTGTCCACATCGCGGCATCACGCCAAACGTGCGTTGAAATCACCCAGTAGGAAGAGTCGACTGCTCCTCGTCACAGGCAGTATAATGGAGGATACGTGAGTGTAAAACTGATCCCCGTGTCATCAGGATAACACATGGTGAGACCACACGTGTTAATAAAGGTTAGATGTTTACCTCCTCCAAGTTGCGCACGGAGAGCCATCAGTCGTACGCTGATGCTGGACAGGTCTGCTACCAGATTGCCATTTAGGCAGTCGGATTATGCAAATCCGACCCCATGTTCACGTGGTGTTGAGGTGGCGTTCTTCACCCAGTAGAACGTGTATCTAACGCCAGTCTCATGCAGCTTCCCTTCGTCAGCGAGCCGAGTCTCGCTGAATGCGGCAATATTAATGACGTAGCGTGCGACTTCCATCGCGACCAGTGCAGTGCGTCGCTCTGGACGTTCACTCATATCCTGTCCGAGCAATGTGCGCACGTTCCATCACTAGATGTTGAGTGATTTGCGCGAAGGCATACGGTTGCACCGGGCAATCATTCGTGTGGTGACTTGGGTTGGAGGAAGTAGGGGATTAGTTAAATTAGGGACGGGGAGAAAGTGTGTAGGGGGAGAAAAGAGAAGGGAGGCATCAGGAGTAGCACGTTTTCGCTTATCACCACCCTGTATGCAGCAGAAAAGGAGGCGCTTTTTCTAAGGTAACTGCGCAACGACTGATGCAGCATTGAACCATTAATATTGGCGTGACTCATAGTTGGGGCTGTACTGGTGTACTACCAGGCCGTCCAGACCTAACAGGAGAATGACCCGGGTCATCAATCAAGGCTTTCGATAAAATGTACAGCCGAAAAGCAGCGGACTCTGCGCCGTGAGACAGTGAACCGACTTATGCGGACTTCTGTGTCCTGGCTCTCAGCTAAAAGATGGGCGTAACCCAACTCCCACCCAGCGGTAGTAACGATGAGGCGTCCAGGACACGAGTCCACGGTACAACATCGGGGGCAGTGGTTCAACGATCTGTCAGAATCTAGCCACCACAAACCTCAGGGCAACATGGGTTCTCGCGCTACTTGGTAATGTTAAGATCGGTTCGTCTCAAAGTGGCCAGGATAGGCTGC